GGAAAACATTTTTGTTGCCTCTTCCTGAGGGTGTGTTGGTTGCTACTGACCTTTTGTGGCCATTTTCTTCTGCATTATCTAGAGCTCTTTCTGGCTCAAATTCCTGAAAATTTTTTCAATCCTCTTAAACTAACCAAGTTCCTTAACTTTAAGTGGCATTTCTTTTCTTTTTCATGGGCTTTTTCCTCTGCTGGAATTGTTTTTATTTTATATGCTTTCTAAGATTATGTTGTTTAAACTTTTGATCATGAAATTTGTTTATTAAATTTTAGCTGCTATCTGGGGCCTTTCTTGCTAGATATAATTGGAATGGTCAGGGGATTGGCTTTGATGTTTACTTCTCGATGTCGTGAGGCGATGCATCTGTAGCTGCTATGAAAATGATCAAGTTGTTGAGTAGGTAGATTATTCATTCATTTATTTGTTTCTCTTATATGGAATAACGTGGGCCGTAGTTTCTGCATGAATGCAATGGTTATTAACTTGAATCAATGGTCTTCGAAAGGTATGACTATACTATTTTATATTTGTTTTGTAAAGTATTTTATGAGTGGAGTCTTTTCTCCTTATTGTCACCCTTCTGCTTGATCATGATGTGCAATACGATATTATCTCCCATTTATTATGGATGATTAATAGTGAACAGCTCTAGAAATACTTTTCTTAAAAACTTCAATGTGCTTAGGCATCAAATTCACAGAATACATCTGGTAAACGTCCAAACATACTCCTATCTTTAAAACTTGTTGCTTATTACATTACAAAGTAATTTACTTTCCATGTTGAGATTCAAGACATTCATATTTTTGAGTTGTAGAAAAGCTTTTTATTTTTTATGTTTAAGTTCTAGAATGCTTTGAAAGTTTTTTGGGTTATGACAGAAGAAGGTAATTCTTGCGATATAGTTAGTGAGAATAATCTGTGGAGAGGTAAAAATATTGAGTCAGACAAAGAATGTTATGTCCTTGTTAGACAAGAAGATATAATGGAGGGAATGGGTTGCTTCATATTTGCTACCCCCTTGACCATACTAAGGTATCTCCACAATTTAGGAAGCTTTATACATGTTATGCTCTACCTGGGATTTAATAGTGATCTGTATATCCACAAAACATTATTTATTATACAGTTCCATGTTTATAATGAATTGAAAATATGGCATATGCGAGCCCTAGTGCTTGTTATTGGATCCCTTATTTGGACAAGTCCAACGACGTTTACATCTTTTATTAGTTCCAGATTTCAAGGTTATTTTTTCATATTATTTGTCAGCTTTATTTTTCAAAGGTAACATCTCGTATGCAATAATTTTCTCCGGTGGAGGATTTGTCTTTGGGTTTCTTTTATGCAATAATTTTCTCTGGTGGAGGATTTGTCTTTGGGTTTCTCTTATTCCTGCAACAATACTTTCAGCTTGAAGAGCATAGCAGCCAAATTAGGCAGAGCATCTGGCTTTTATATTTATGTGTTATCACAAATTTATGTAATTGCTAAAATTTAGGCTGGTTTTGGCATTTTGTCTTTCTGATATTGGATATGTACATATGTACAGGGAAGCTTGTAAGTATTAGTTCATGAGCAATTGGCGATCATTGGATTTGTGTGTTTTATTTTTATTTTTTTCCCAAAAAAATGACTACTTATGGCGTCTGCTGTAGTGAGAAACAGAAGCCGTAAGTTGTGCCTTATGGCGTCTATTGCACTGGGCAACAGAAGCCGTAAGTTGTGACTTACGGTGTCTATTCCTATCTTTCGCTTCTCTACCTTCTACTACACCTCCAATGCAGTAACGAAAGCATATTTTGAACTGAAGCGAAAAGGGGTATTTTGCACTAGTGATATATAGCCTAGCTCAAATATGTATATTTTTTTTTTTCAATTTTTAATATTCATTATTTTATTTATTTTTATTAATATTTTTTTATATAATTTGTTGATCTTCTGACTATCATGATGATTTATTTTTCATGTTTTCAATTTTTTTAATTTTATTTAAAATTTTAAATTGATGTTTTAAACTCAACATTATATGAAAATGGGGAATATAAATGTTAATATATATAATTCCAAAAATGATTTTTCCTTATCAAAATATTTTTTTTAAAAAAAGTGAATGCTTAATTACTTTGAAAAAATAATTTAGAGACAAGTGTACACCTTAACTTTTAATAATAGTCTAAGGGTCACCTAGGTGGCGTTAATTCATTATGTCCAAATTAATTTGAAATTTTCTCAAAATGGTAGCTTTTTCTTGGGAGTATTAATATGGCCGGTACGACTTAAAAAAATCTGTGTGATGACAGGCTGGTTTTTAGCTAACCTAACTCATTATGAGAGTTTGACAGGGTGACTAGCCAACCCATTGACTACTATTTATGTTTTTTAAAAAATATTTTCTATTTATAAATAAAATATAATGAATTTTTTGGGTTTTCCTTCAAATACTTGATTGAAAACATCAAATAAATGATATTGGTATTTTTTTAATTTTTAAATAGGATATAAAATATAATTATATAATTATAATAATTAATAAAATTAAAAAAGTAAAATAAAAAGAATTGGCTAGGGACTTGGCAGGTTAACTCATGGCGAGATGTAAGTCTGATAGTACGGGTTGAAAAGATTTGTTTGTTAGACTAGCCGTACTTTTCTTTAAGGTCTGATTGGTATAAGAAAAAAAATGAAAAGAAGGGAGGAAAAATTTTAATAAGCTTAATTTTAAAAGTAAAAGAATGGGATGAAAATTTTTTAATTAATTTTTATTACTCTTTTATATTACTTCTTCTCTTTCTTTAAATTTTAAAACCCCACTTCTCTACTTTTTTAAGTAGAGCTCATTAAAATTTTTCTTCCCCTCCTCTTCTCCCAGTTTCCCTCATACCAAACAGTATCTCAGGGAAAATTATAAAAACCCTCCATTAAAAACCTTTATTGACAAGAGTTCACCCAAAAAAAAAACTTAATTGACAAGGATGTGATAAATTTAATACATATATAAAAAGCATTGACAGTCTGCAAATTTTTATACACAACATATTAATACTTTATAAAACGTACTAGTACTTTGGGGGGGAAAAAACTATTCCCGAAAATCCATTTATTTTGCGCCCCAAAAAATATTGCACTACTGAAAATGAATGAATGATCATTCGTATATTGGCAAAAGTGTTAATTGAAACTTGAGAAGGTAGTATTTTTGTATGTAGACAACATATCAAAGTATTTAAATAAAAATGAGACAAATGAATGCCTTCTACAATGTCGATCGCATGCCATCACCATTCAAATGAAGCAGACTGTACAAATTATATGCCATCACCACCATCATTGTCACAACCACCATAGCGTCGCATTTTTAGCTTCGTGACTGTAGAATTATGGGGAAAATGAGATATATTTAGCAGAGTAAACAATAGATCTGAGAAAAACAAGCAGCATGTCCCCAAAAAAACAAAAAACAAAAAGTTTCATCCTGCAGTTCTTCGAAAATGTGTACATCAATTACATCTTTCTGAGAAGAAAATGGAGAGATCACGGAGGAGAGACGGTATATAAATAGGCTAAGGAAGAATCTGATGACAATAATTCTCATTAATGCAGCCGTATATCTGTGTTAGTATTTGAGTAGTAAATAACGTTAAATCTGTTCTTATTAGTTGTAAACTTGTATTATGTCGTAAATAAACATGCATTTGTGTGAGTTGTAAATTTAGAAGCATTCTAAATGATAATTAATTTGTGAATTTGACCCTTTACTATAATTCTGTTTATAAATAAATTCAAAATTCAGATTGTATGGTGTGCTATACCAAAATTTCTAGGTGTGCACAATCAAAAAATATAATGCCGGCAAAAAGAAAAAGGAGAAAGTCAAATGTGCGCACCTTTGAAGAGCCGCGAGTGTGGTTTTAGAGAAGATGGGGCAATCTCTAATATCTAGACTTTCCAGGTTTGGAGGTATGCTGTCATCAAACCCTCCCTCTTGGATTTCAAGCTCGCAGTTAAAAAGTCCCTTTAGTCCAGAGCACTCATGAATCCACAAAAGATACAACTTTGGAAGATGGTGAGTAGAGGGCAGAGAGGGGAAGAGCCATTTCAACTTTCTGCATCTAAAGACTCTAAGATATTTAAGTTGTGGGAAGCAGAAGGAATGAGAGGAGGATGCATTTGGAAAGTAGTGATGCTCTTCTTCTGACGACATCATTTCCTCCATCTCTTCACATTCTTCAATGCTTAGATCCTCCAAACATGGTAGGCTTCTGATCACAGTGCTTGGGAACATACACTTCAATTTTCTACAGTCACTCACAGTTAACTTCTTCAGATTTTGGAAGATGATGAAAGTGGGACCCTCCCATACAGATATGAGGTTATTTGAAACACTCAAATCCAACTCCTCTGCTCCTGAGATCACCATCGTCCCTTTTTCTTCATTTACTAGCAATTCTTTTTCTCCATTTGATGAAGTTTGAACACTTGAAGCTTCCGTCGAAACCTGTGGCAATTGCAATTTCATTTTTTTTTAAGAAAAATGGACAAATTTATTCACATCAATCAAATTTAGAGCATTCAAATTTTTTTTTAAAACCTCAATTTAAAAAAGTTAGATACATTGTAAGCATACCAAGCAAACTCCTCGCACTTTACTAATGTACAAATATTTATATATCATCAGTGTATGGTTACAGGCAAAAAAAATCAATTTATAATTGATTTCGTTTAATTTTCTATAAAATATATTTTTTATTAAAATAGTCTGTGAATCACCACGCACACAATTATTCTTTCACTGGCATTTTTTCTGTGGTGAAATTTCATAGTCACAATTTTGATATGAAAAATTTTAAAAGAATATATTTAATAAATATTTTAAAAAATTTATAAATTCCCTATATAATTTATGCAGCTACCCAAATGAGATATATATATATATATAATGATTCTAATAGCATATATTCCATCTAATTTTGAAGACTCTAAATCAAGATAATATTCATTCATACTGATGTCGTTCCCAATTGTTGAAGAGCCCTTCCCAACGTTGAATCCACAAATTTTGGGCAGTTCCGTATGCTGATGCTGCTCAGCTGCACCTGAATCTGCAATCCTTGACAGATACTTTTCAAATTTGACAAATTTGTTAGCGTTATCGTCCTCAAGCTGGAAAGCACAATTGCCTCACTGGAATTCGCATCACCTTCACTGCTGTGTCTAAAAATCACCTCCAGTTGATTAGCCTCAGCTATTGACAAAGTGTATAGTTGTGGAAGAATAATACCCGTGGACGTAGAGAAGAGTCTTTTGAGCTTGTTGCACCTCTCAACCTTCAACTTTCTTAGTTTTGGGAAGTGAACCTCAGCACTGCACATGATCTGATGTTCCTCACTTTCTGCAATTATTTCCTCTAGTTCTTCACAATCAGATAAGATTAGGGAAGCCAATTTGGGAAGGCTGGTGTGGACAATAGTGCTTCTTGTGAACAAAAACTTCAACTTTTTATCGTGAGTTACTTCTAAGGAATGGAGATGTTGAAAGCTCAAAACTTGCGTGGGAACAAGACCTCCCAGCATTTGTTGTTCTGATCTCAACATTCCTGAGTTGTTGGTTTCTTCCTCCTCATCATCACCAATCACTCGGCAGTTGTGTTCAACTCCAGGACTTCGAATATCAAGCTCTCCGGCATTCAGAACAGGAAGCGGATGATTGAGAGCCTCATTATTATTTAATTGGTTGTATCTCAACACATACTCCCTTACAAGCCCCTGCATATAACAGAGGAGTGAAAAGTGGGCGAAATAAGATATTCTAAGTTCCTTGATAAAGGTTATGAAAAGAAAGAGATTGCAATACATTCAACATCTGTACCTATTTGTACAAGTTAAGATATGCAGTTCTTAATTTGGTAACTTCGATTTGTATGCAAGAATATATGATATCTTAGTCAATTGCCTGTCTACATGGCAGAATCATGGTAAAACCGGAAATATATAATGCTCTGCAATGCTGAAATCCTTCTTCTCTTCATCTTCTATGACTTGAACTATCATTGATTGTGAGATAACATGGTAGAAGAAAATTTACATCGTATTTGTATCGGTAGTACCAAAATAGTCACAAGTTGATAAACTAAACCTTACTTCGTTTGGTTTCTTTCATGAAATGCAGAATGATTCATTTTTTGAAGCAGCTTTTTGTATGTAGAGATGTCTTGTTCATATGCATGTGAAACGAATGAATGTATTAGACCGCAGTTCATGAGCTTAAATGAACAAAACATTAAAAACAAAAAATTGAAAGTATTAAATGTTCAGCTCGCATGAATTTAATTAATTTTGCAAAAAAAAAAAAATATTTGCAATATGGAGAAATACAAATGCAGAATATTCGTTACCTCTTTAGTCCAATGAATAAATGCACCCATAATTGGCATAAGTTTTGGGCAGTCATGAACCGCAACCGTGCAAAACTCCCCTGTCTGCAACTTGAATCCTTGGCAGACATTAACAAGTCTTGGCAAGTTCTCAAGTTTCAGATATTTCATGTTCGGGAATGTAATCTCCTTTTCACTGCTATCAATGTGATGATCTTCAATATTTGGGCATTTGAAAATTTCTTCCATTTCGGAAGAATTTGATATGCCTAGAGTGCTTAGTTGTGGCAGCATTGAGACAGTAGGACCAATCATGAAAGATAAAATGAATTTAAGCTTGTTGCACTCAGAGACTTCCAACGTCTTGAATTTCGGGAGACAAGATTCAGCATTAGGTGGATTTTTCTGAGTCTCTTCATTCTCCGAAAAGATCGCCTCCAACTCCTCACAACGAGATATGGTTATAGAAGTTAACTCTAGAAGACTTTGACACATGTCAGCAGAAAAGACAAATTTCAATCTTGCATGATTATACAAGACTAGTTCTTTAAGGGATTGAAATGTTGGATATTGTTCTTCAACGCGCGTCTTATAGAGGGAAATGGATTCTACTCCGCAGTTATAAAGTTGAATACGTTCTATAGTTGCCAACGACTCGTGTTCTTCATTCCTCTGGTGGCTCTCAAGTTCCTGCAAATCCTTTGTGAAAGGAAACAAGGAATAGAAGAAAATGACATCTATTAAAATAATTCCTTAAAAACAATAAATCGAGATTGATTAAAATTCTATATGTATCATTCTTGCATAGACTTAGTCTATCAATTTTTTGATAAATTAAACAAATAAAGATAAACCATATGCATATATAAGAAAATAGATTTCACAATCAATGAAGTCAAGGAAAAATTATAAAGAGGGGCCCATAAGAGTCAATGTTTATTGTGGGCCGTTGAAATGGTAACAAAAGTTGTTATTGGTCATTGCATTTTTATTTCCGTAATGCAGAGTAATTCTAAACCAAAAGCAGAGTGAAATTCAAATGCTCAAAAAAATTATGCATGATTCTAGATATTTTAATTTTATTTCTTATTTTAAATAATAAAATGTGAATGAATTAATTGACTAATTCATCTCTCAAAATGTATTCACTTGAACATTATTTGTTACTTTGCGGATGATTTTAAAAAAAATAGTCGTGTAAACAAAGATGTCTTTTGACATAAACTAAAAAAAAAAATAGCAATTTTAACTTTTTTTTTAAAATCAAATTATAGTATGGAAGGTGAATGCATACCATATTTGGACAATCCCCCCAATATACAGCCTTTATAGATGGAAACCTTGGATGATACCTCTGTGAGCAAAGTCCGACAAGATTTGGAAGATTTACCATGAAGAGATGTAACAAAAGAGGGAGAACTAACTGAATCTCATCTTGATCATGCATTGGTTGTTCTTCACCAGCATTTTCACCAAACACAAATTTCATCTTAGGAGCATTTCTTATGGATAGGTCCTGCAATTTTACAAGCCTTTGAGCTAAAAAGGCTGGGCATACAGATTCTAATTTGCAGCAATCATCAACAGATAAAATTTTCATTTTTGGGAAGCTCAAATTCTCGCATGCATCACCACCACCCTCTCCTTCTATGACATGCTTCAATTCACTGCAGTCTCCTATGCGGAGTTCCTCTATGGATAACAGAGTGCATGCGGCAGAGATGGGGAAGAGACATGTCAACATCGAACAGCTAATAATTTCGAGAAGCTTAAGATTGCCTAAGTTGCAATCAGCAGGGAATATGTGGAGCAATTGAGGGCATTTGACGATACTTAATCTTTTGAGCTTTTCGAATAATCCAAAAGGAGAAGGACCATGATGTAGTTGTTTAAGATTGTCCATGTCTTCTAAATTTAACTCATCTAATCTGGGGACAACTGCATCTTCATGAGGAGCCATTTTGTCGGCAATGCATTCAATCTCTGAACATCTTCGAAGGGCAAGTCCAGTTAACTCATTCATGCCTCCTACAACTCGGATAATATTAGCCATGAAACTTTTGATGCCCCCCTTAAGCTCATAAAATTCAATCGCAGCTGCTCTTTGTGCAAGGTCTTTGATTCTTGCACCTAACATAGAGATATTTAACTGACCCAATCGTAAAGATCTTTGGCTTTCATTATGAAGCAACAAGCGGGTCCCACCATACTTCCCAACTTCCAAACTATACCTTTCCAATTTCACCAAAGCAGAAGGGCCTAGAAGGTATTCATAGCAATTTCCATTTTCTATATGTGGAGAATGTGAGGAAACATACAACTCTTCTAACCGTGAGCACCTTCCTATCACTTCATAACAACATTCATCTATTATGCAACCTGACAAATCTAACAACTTCAACTTGTTTAATTTTTCAATTCCATTTGGTAGTCTTTCAAATCTACAATATTTCAAGTCAAGAATTTCAAGTCTTGGAAGGCTTACCACAACAGAGATGTCATGTAAATCCTGCTGTTGCAATCGCAAAGTTCGAAGATTAAACAAGTGTTGGATTGATTGAAGTTGCAGTTCACTCCTAATCCAATCACGCGAGCAAATAATTAATGCCCTGAGTCCTTTAGTGCCTTCAAATGATGCATGTGACATATCCAAGGATTCTCTTGAATGTAACATTAGAAACTCAAGTTTTGAAGCAGCCAATTGAGAAGAAAATTTAAGTATTTTGTTGTTCTCATACCAACAGGATATGGCATAGCAATTTTGTATGGCTTCATCAGCCATCAATTCATTCAATTCTTTTGTACAATTTACCATAATGGTACGATCCTCTTTAGATGCTTTCCACAATGCAAAGTCACGAACCATATCATGCATTGTCACATATTCTTGTGACTTGGTGTTGAATTTTGAAGAATGCATCAGCAACGAGGAGTCAATGAGATAATTTATAGTTGCTCTAACTTGGCTCCTCGCTGTTTCAAATGAGTCCACATCTTCACATAGACCTAAACCCACTCCATATCTGAAAAGGTCTTCAACATCAATATTATGATCTTCAGGAAACATAGCACACATTAACAACAATAACTTGGCTTTTGGGGTTGCCAAATAATCATAGCTTAATTCAAGACAAGTAAAAGCCTTACTCACTCCTTCATCCACAATGTTTGGCTTCGAGTTCCTCAACTGATACAACATCACCTTGATCTCATCAACTCCTTTTTCTTTCAAGCAAGTACCCACAACTACAATTGCAATAGGTAGGCCCTTACATTCTATAGCAATTTCTCGTGCCATATCTTCTTTGGCAACATCATAGACATAATTAGCATGAGTTTGAAACAATGTCCAAGCTTCATCTTCTTTTAACAAATCAAGTCGAATCTTCTTTTGGCATTCCATCCTGTTACATACATCAAGAATGCGTGTGGTTAGGACAACTTTGAGACTTCTTTGATGATTTTCCCCTAAAGGAATCCCTATGTCCTCAAGAGTCAGCACATCCCATAGATCATCCAGTATCATCAAAATTCGTTCTCCACTTCGTAATCGTTGTGCTATTCTTTTTGCCCTTCCCGTTACAGATTCTTCCTTCAATTCGAGCCCCAACGCATCAGCAATATCACCTTGAATTTTTCTTATATCTGGGCTTTGAGAAATTGTAGTTAGCACGACTCGACGAAAGAGCTGTGACTTCTCGGCTCTCTCTTCCACAAGTCTCATCAAGGAGGTTTTCCCTGACCCTCCCATTCCCCATAGCCCAATCATGGAGCTACCATCATCGTGCAATGCCTCCCACAGCTGATCAAAAGCCATTTGTGCAGAGTTGAAGAACTTGAAGTTTTGAGAAGAGCGATATTCTATATTTGGAGGAATAACGGGATGGGAAAATGGATCCAAGCGATTACTGTTCGTAATTAGATCAATCATCCTCCGGATTGTCTTAGCCAACTTTTTGCAGATATAATATCTCCTCCAAGTAGGACACCACCCTCGAAGGCAGCCATGATTAGCCCTTAGTCTTTCCTCCAAATTCTCCACCTCTGCTATGAGGCTCTTCACGTCATTCTTCCACCTGTGAACCTCATCATCAATCCTCTCAGTCCTGTTGATGGCCTCTTGAACGCGTTCCTGCACCCTCCCTTGCTTCAGGATCAGCTCTTCCTTTCGGATCTCAACATTTTTGGTGATTTTGTCCACACAGAACAAATATTGCAGCTGCTGTAAAGTTGGATGCACCAAATATTCAGCAAGTTTTGCTGCCACCGACACTCCCACCTCTGCCATTTAATACTAATAGAAACCTGAAAGGGGACCCATTCGTCAAATGATTAACTCAAAATTTCATTTTGAAGAATTGAAGAATCTTAGGTACTTAATCTGTCATGAAGATATCATCAAGAGGTCATCAAGATGAGAATAACGATTTTTTTTTAATCCAGAGTAAACTATAGAAAGATCAATTGTTTTTGTTCACCTTTCTTGCTGTGATGACAGGTTTTTTGGCCCCGCCGGCTATGTCCAGATATCAGAGTAACAAAATTTAGTGTTTTATGATTCTATTTTTGTAGCAGATCGATGCAAAGGTGAAAGAAGAAAACAAGTAGTCTAAAAATGGCAGCAGTAATTATCAGCAACTAACAAGCTTGTCATACTTTGAGAATTGAGAAAGATCACAGATAGATGCGTATGTATGGCAAAGCAAATAGAACAATGGCAAAAGAAACATGTGAATGAATAAAGTGGGAAAAAAATGAGACTCTGATTCAAAAGAAGGGTATTACTTCATACCTGTGGCGGATGAAGTTGCACTTTCGGTCTGGGGTTGTAGATTTTCAAGAGTAAGAATAGAATTGGGCTGCAATGACCAGATCCGGCGAGAGACAAGATGCAGATAAGATGTTTCAGGCCTTGAACAGTAGGTGTTGTCCATTTTCAATTTCTTTGGTAAAATGCAATCTTATCATCTTTACTTTTCCAAGGTAAAATTTTTAGAACTAGCATTTTATGAGATAATATAAAAATATTCTAATATAGATAGAACATGTGTGCTAGAAAGATCTTGAAATATTAACTTATTTATTGTAAAGCTATTTTTCTTCCAAACTCAGGTGCGTACCGTTTCAAAATCAAAATTTCATTCCATGAAGAGCAATCTTTTTACTGCTTCATCTCCAAATACGTAGCAGCAAGCTGATGAAAGGTAAATTTGAAGATGTTGAATCTGAAAAATAAGAAAGATCAGTTGTTGTCACTTTATTGCCATGAGATGTAAGCTTTTTGCAGCTACTTTTAGACACAACTATGTACTGTTTTGAGTGGTATTTTCTATCAGATCTGTGCCACGCAAGTTGAAAGAAGAACAAGTAACAAATGCAATATCTGTAAGTGACAGCTCCAGAAAATGAAAGACTGATGACGGTTTGATTTTCATACCAGATAATTAAGCTTGCAAAATTCAGCTTGAGATTCTCGGCTTGCAAATTTTCAGAAACCAGATGAACAGAATTCTACTGCGATCACCAGACTTTTTATGAGCTTGATGAGTCGTCAACTTGGTTGGAAACCATACTGCTCGTTCTTTCTCTCTCTAAAATAGAAAGCAATTATCACAAAATGAAAAGCTTAGAGGCAAAGAAAAAGAGATTTTCATATTCATATATCACATGAACTTGGGTTGTCAACTCGGTTTCAGCTAGGAAGTGATAAGGCTCTTTCTTTGTCCTTTCTAATGGACCCCAAAAATGTGAAATCAAAGTTGAAGAAATCAGTGCGTTCCAGTTAACTGTTACTACGTCTTTGGAATTCTTCTGATATTTGCTTTTCTCGAGGCACAATTCTCTGAAATTTCAGAATTCTTATTTTGCAATTGTTTGTACGAAAAATTAGTTACTTTTTTAATATCATTTTCAAAAGTTACCGAATGAATGAGTGCGACGGTCTGAGAGAGAGGAGACTCCTAATGCAAAACTCCTTCCTATATACAACACATAATATTTTTATATAATTTCCGAGGAATAAATTTTATTTTTCATTAATTAATGGATCTCGTGCTATTTCTGTCTTACGTTTTTCTTTTTTAATTGAGGTCCATATATTCCCTCACATCATTTTGCACTTAAATTTAAATTTGAGAAAATTCAGAAATTGCTTGGTAAAAATAATGATCTAGGTTTACTTTAAAGTTTAAACCACAACATTTATTTGTGGTAAGTATTATCAGTTTATCATCTTACTTTTTTTTTGGCGATACAATTACCTTACTTTTTACTGTAAAGGCCTATTTTAAAACAATTGAAAACTTCTCTTCTCTATATAGAATTTCCCAAACCATGTAATTGGTTTTTAAAGAAAGAATTACAATGAGGTTCCAAAAATAGAAAATAATTATCTGTAAATTTTAATGACAAGTAAGCAATTGTCATTTCTTACTCTGAAACTTGTCATTGGAGATTGTTCTATTATCACTAGGATCTTTTAGTTAAGTAATGTAAATATTTTCTTAATCTTTTCAAATTAATCAATTAGATTTTATATTAAGAACAGAAACTAGTACATTTTAAGCATACCAAACAAACTCTTTACTGATATACGAATGTTTATATATCTTTTTTGACCGGATATGAATGTTTATATATCAATAATGTATGATCAGGCCAAAAAAAAAAAAGATTTATACAGTAATGGGATCCCATGATGTCATATAACTTTATATAAAATTTCAATTTTGTCTATTCATTTTATAAGTATTTTCTTACTCATCTTGCCATAATACTGTTAGTATCAATAATATAACGATGATTTTATGTCTCATTCATTATTATTTTAAAAATTTAAACTTAATATGTCAGCATTTAAGAATATTTTGTTCATTTTTAAAATTTCAATGTTGTCACTTTTTTAATAATGTTAATATTAGATAACTAATTGTGACCTTTACCCAACAAAAAAAAAAAAAAGATAACTAATTTTGACAAAAAAAAGTATCAGTAACTGAAAACGACAGTTTTTAAAATTAAAAAACAAAAATAAAAGCTTGTGAGGAGTTAAACACCTATGATACATCATGTACTAGTAGTATTATTTTTCAGGCTTTCGGCTGCATACTATCCTTTTCACATATCAAAAAGCACCACTTAGCAGCAATTATTATGAGCAACCAACAAGCTACTCAGGTCATGCGCAGAGAATTGAGATATATATACATATACTCCTTCGGTTCTTAATATAGGACCTAATTGTTGAGTTGGTTTTCGTTTTAAATATAATTAAGACCTATTTCTTATATTTATCAATTTTCTCTAAATTACTCCTTCAACCATAATCAAGTAGAAAGGAGAGATAAGGTATTAAGAAAGATGATTATAGTGTTTTAAGAAAAATGTGTTCCTTTTCTTATAATTAATTAACTTACCTAACTTTCTTAATCCAATTAAATTAGTTAAATATGTACTCCTCCGGTCCTAATTATAAGACCCAATTGACTTATTTGAGGAGATTAAGGAAGTAAGTTAAGTTGGTTATTTATAATAAATAAGTGTTGTTATTCCTAAAATATCCTTGCTAATTAAGTATATTGGCTAAAACTATCATTATTAGAAGGATTATCCTGGAAAAAAATGCATAAATATAAGAGAGAAAATGGATTGGGTCTTATAATTAGGACCAAATAAAAAGTCAAATTGGGTCTTATAATAAGGACCGGAGGAGTATTATATTAAGAACCAGAAGGATATATCACAGATAGATGCTCATGGATGGAAAAGCAAATATAACAATGGTGAAAGAAACTAAACGGGTGTACGTATGTGATAGCTGCTCATGTCATACGTAGAGAATTGAAAGTGCTCTTTCGTTTTCCTTTCCTTTGATTGTTATTACGCGTTTGGGGACACCTTGTCCCTACTACTTGCTTTCCATTCCGGGTGCCTTTAGACCAGATGTAAAAGTGAAAGTTAAAAAAAAAAAAAGCGCAATCTTAAGGCTTTCTTTTTCTTTTTTGCAAAATTTCTGAATTTTTATTTTGCATTATTTTATCTGGGAAATTAATCATCTTTTTGTTATGCCATTTTTCAATTTGGTTGCTTCATTTTATAAGGTATCTTTGTAGTCATATGATTAAGACTAACTAATATCGTTAGACTAAACTGATTATTTTTTGTATGAATCATTATTTTTTTTTTTCAAAACGTAAGTTTAATATGCCAGTATTTAAAAATATTTTATCAATATTTAATATTTTTAACATTGACGTTTCTTATTCATGATGTCATACCAAGAAAACTTAAAAGACATTTTTTTATTTGACAAACCAAAAATAAAATCTTGTGGGACCACACGGGTGATATTTTGAAAAGTTATTCTTGAGAAATTTTTAATTAGTTTGAAAATTTTTTTAATAAGAATTATTTTTTATCATATCCAAACCTAAAATATTTTAAAATCACGTTTGGAAAAAAAAATTAAACCAAATGCAAATATACCTAACAGCATTAAAAAGTCAAAGAAATACGCGGTGTCACTAATGATTGTCCTCCACCTCTTGATTGTTATTACGCGTCTGGGGACACCTTGTCCCTACTTGCTTTCCAGGTGCCTTTACATGTTGAAGTAAAAGTTAAAAAATAAAGAAAGCAATCTTATGATTTTCTTTTTTATTCCTTCCAAATTTCCGGATTTTTATTTTGCATTAGTTTATCTGGGAAATTAATCATCTGTTTGTTATACCATCATTTTTTTTCAATTTGGTCGGTTCAGGTTATAAGGTATCTTTGTAGTCATATAATTAACACTAATATTGTTAGACTCAAAGTCTCAAACGATGATTTTCTGTGTGAATCATTATTTTTTTCAAAAAAATAAGTTTAATATTTTAAAATCACGTTTAAAAAAAATTTAAACAAGATGAAAATATACCTAAGAGCATTAAAAAGTCAAAGAAATGCGCGTTGTAGCTAGTAATTCCTTCACTCACCCTAGAGGATTAGAGTATTTAAGTGACAATACTGGTGTGAATTCCCTGGGCTAGATTCTTGGAAACCTTTATTTTTTGTTTTTTCGTCATCCTTCACTTAATGGAAGAAAATCACCCTACAAGAAAAGCACTACAAAAAATAGCTTATCGATCTGTCACTAATTTTGACAGATTACCAACAGAAATTACATTGCTAGATATACCAACAAATTGCCTACAGAATTCCATTCCATCGATAATCTGACTGTAATTTCATCACTAATTTTTTAGTGATTTCGTGGCTAACTTTTGTCATAAAATTTTAATTCTATTA